ATAGATTTATTAGAAGAATTTAGTAGATTTATCTTCGAAATCTCTTTATTATATACTCGATTAGTCTTAAGTATTAGTAGCTTAGTTACTACTATAAGTAGTATAGCTTTAAATATTAAGTAAAATCTTAATAACTAGTAATTAAAAGTTTTTTTAGAATACTCCTAGACAATAGAACTTTACTAAGTAGCTCTCTTTCTCTAGTTAAAATCTATTATTACTACCTTATGATCTAAAGATCTTATAACCCTTACTATCATTTTAGAAGGTATCTCCTTTATTATAAAAGTAATAAATAATAATAAGGGAGTTTTATTCTATCTCCTCTTCTTACTCTTTATTCTAGGAGTAGTTTCTACCTTCGAAACTAACTATCTTTATATTACTACCTAATTCTAATAGGTATAACGTGGTTTATCAGCGAGTCGATCATATCACCGAGTCGATCACTTTTCCTTGGCACTACCTCCTCAAACTTCAACACACGTTTTCTTCAACTATTTACCATGGAAATTCAAACTCAAGAAGCGCGAATTACTCTAGCTATCGAGGCTATTCGGTCGTCCAAAAAACTAAGCAAACGCTCTGCGGCAAAGATCTACAATGTACCATATACGACTCTTTCCGACAGAATGGCTGGCCGAACCTACCGCCCAGATTCTCAAGCCAATTGTCATAAGTTGACTGAGTTAGAAGAGGAAGTGATTATTCGGTATATACTGGATATGGATTCCAGAGGATTTGCGCCCCGGCTCGCTGGTGTAGAAGATATGGCTAATTTTATCCTTGAATCGCGGGGGGGAAGACGCGTCGGCAAGCTCTGGGCCCATCGATTCGTACAACGACAACCAGACCTTAAGACGCGTTTTAATCGCGTTTACGACTTCCAGAGGGCCTTATGCGAAGATCCTGACGTGCTAGGCGCATGGTTCCGGCTAGTAGAGAATATGAGGGCGAAATATGGGGTTACAGACTCCGACTTCTACAACTTCGACGAGACAGGCTTTATGATGGGTGTTATTTGTCCTAGAATGGTTGTTACTCGTGCAGACCGACGTGGTAGAGGCAAGGCAGTTCAGCCAGGCAATCGGGAATGGGCTACAGCAATTGCCTGTATTAATGGGGAGGGCTGGAGTATTCCTCCATTCTTGGTAGTTCAGGGCAAGAACCATCTCTCCAACTGGTATACCGACGGCGGCCTCCCACCTAACTGGGTTATGAAACCGACAAGCAATGGTTGGACAAATAATGAAACAGGCCTGGAATGGTTAAAGCACTTTGATAAACACACTACAGCTCGTGCAAAGGGTCTGTATCGAATACTAGTTTTGGATGGGCACGAGAGTCATGAATCGGCTGAGTTCCAAGACTACTGTACGAAACACAACATTATTACTCTTGGACTACCTCCTCATTCATCCCATCTAACCCAGCCACTTGATGTTGGGTGCTATAGTGTGTTAAAACGAGCGTATGGTCGGCAGATTGAGACGTTTATCAAGGCCCATATCAACCATATTACAAAGGTTGAGTTCTTTCTAGCCTTTACAGCAGCATACAAGGAAACAATGACAGTCCTAAACTGTCAGTCTGGATTCCGCGGAGCTGGCCTAGTACCATTTAACCCGCAAGCAGTGCTTTCAAAGCTTGACGTAAGGTTACGGACTCCAACTCCCCCTCGGACGTGTAGTGCCAACTCCCTCCCCTGGGTGTCCCAGACCCCTTCCAACCCAACTGAAGCCCTTTCACAATCAACTCTTGTACGAAATCGTATAGCCTGTCATCAAGGAAGCTCGCCAACTCCACTTTTTCAAACAGTTGCTGCGTTAGCAAAGGGTACAGAGCGAATGGCACATGAGATGACCCTTTTGTCTGCTGAGGTCCGTACCCTTCGCGCTGCAAATGAAGCCCTAAGTAAACGCCGTAGGGCTAAAAAGACTCGTGTCCGCCAAGGAGGGGCACTTATAGTAGAGGATGTACAGGATATGTTAGCTCAGGAGGATGTAGATGAGCAAGTACGACGCGACATGCGTGAGGCGGGGGTTGGTTATAAGGAGGGGCAACCTTCTAGGCGGCGCTGTAGAACTTGTGGAAAAGCTGGTCATAACGCGCGAACTTTTCAAGAAGTTATAGATATATCTAGTTCGTCAGATATAGAGAGCGATAATTAATTTAATATATTGTGGTTGATTTATTTAGGTGTAAAGTTCTGTGCCAAGAAAAAGTGATCGACTCGGTGTTATGATCGACTCGCTGATAAACCACGTTATACTTAAAGTAGCTTTAGTAATATCAATATTACTAAGAGTGTTATATAAAGAATATAGTAAGATTATAATTAAGGACTTCTATATGTCACGAATCACGTGCTCACGTAATACTTGTCATAATAAGAGGCGCAACCCTCGGCAGGCACACCCAGGGTTCTTATAGCAGAAAGGGATCCTTAGACCAGCTAAGCGATCCAGGGATTTTCATTGATTGGAAAGGTCACGTGACCTGGATCTTTTGGATCATAATAATCCACGATCCAGGAGCGTAGATCTGCATGATCCAGTACGATCCACGAACATGAAAGGATCTATATAAGACTGGCACGTCTGCCATTAGATAGGAGCTTCGTGCTCAACTTAGTTATCAATTTTATCATATTAGTTTGACATCTTTGATACAAGTAACGAGTTCACTTCC